AAAAGTAATAAAATGCTGCTATCATTGCAATGATACTACAATTAGGTCTACGCTCAGGCATTAAGTAAAGTACACTTTCCTCCTCAAATACAACTCCTATTTTAAAAATCAAAGCCAACCCCTAATCTCAGTAACAAAACACTAGTAATCAGCAAATCTGAAAAATCTTACAGGGATGAAATATGCTTAACAGGTTTAGAAATAAAAGTTCAAATTAGTAAGTTACCCTGTTTATCGCAACACTGCCAGAGTGTCAAAGTAACTGTTTCTGGCAATTCCACATCTCGCAAGAAAGTTAGTTGTGATTTTGCATTAGATTACAAATATGAAAAATAATTTAACTGTAAAGAACTATTTCAGACCAATGTATATTTTAAAAACTTCGCTATGAAAAACATCATCTTACTTCACAAGGTTAATACAAGGAAGTTAGTATTAAGTAGCGTAATATAATAAATAGCGTAATATACACAGCAGCTTAAATACCACGTTCAGTGGCAAAAACTCTTAAAGTAAGCTCTCCTTCTACTTTAGGCTCTCTGGTCAATAAGTGTAACTGCACTGAAAGTCAGTAACTTCACGCTATTATGAAGGTGTTTGGGGGTTGGTTTGGGGTTTTTGTTTGTTTGTTGTGTTTTCAAAGTAGCATTGTGAATGAAAGTTGAGTATTACCAAAAGATGCCCACCTGGCACAGAATTCAGTGAGATTACTCACATGTCAGGACAGGCATTTGCCAGGAAAGCTTCAGAGCGGTAGCATACACCAAGGGAAAGGACACAGAACTAAGGAGTCAGATGCAGATTTTATTCCATTCTCTGCTAATGTTAACCTGCTAAGCGACTGCAGGCAAGCCTACGCTCCTTCACTGCTTTGTATCTCAGATACCTAAAACGGGAGTAAAAGTGATTGTTCCTTGTTTTGAGGTGTGTGAGTACAGTATGGCTTATGCACTTTGCCAGACAGGACATAAGTACATCAAGAAGGCGATGCCTACAACTGCCAATTATTAATAATATCATTATTATTGAGATAATAACATGTTATTTTTTTTTCCCCCTTTTCTAAGCAATGCAATCTAACAGCAGCCCATCAAGCCATTCTTAAAGTCAGAGTAATCCTTATGCTGGTTCAGGTCTTACCCCTCCTGAAACTGTCAAGAAGGGCGACAGTTGCAGGAGTCTTCTGTGAAATTCACAAGTCCACTAGTACCAGGCTCACCACATTAGCTCTCAGAGAGAAACACTGTATCATTACTGATCTTAAAAAAAATAAAAATAAAATAATAAAAAGGAAGTAAACCCTAGTAATCTTTTGACATAAAACAGGAGGAAAAAGCTTCTGACAACGATACCCTGGGAAAGGGGGGGACACATGGTAGAAGGAAAAGAAAGTTTATACCACAGAAGTCAGAAAGTGACTTTTTCTTGTTTCTTCTCAAGAATATTTTGAAATACATACACCTACTATTTCAATCCACCTCTGTGAGCTCCTAAGTAATAAATTGTTGAGGTTACACTAAGGTAAAACAGTATCCATACTGCTTTAAAACCAATTCACTTAGGAAAACTGTCCCAATATACAGGCACCGTATGATTTAACGATACGGGGGAGTATCCTTAGTCTCCATTTGCAGGTGGCAAAGGGACATATGGCTGTGCTTCCAAGAGTAAACTCTGACCCTGGAAGGCACCAGCGGGCCACGGCAGTGCTGCTGACTCCACTGGCAGCTGCAGCAGGCCACCCCCATGGCAGGGCACAGAAGTTTGACCTGGCTCCAAAATTTGGAAAGCACCCTCTGTTTTGACTGTATCACTTGCCAGAGCTCAGAAAGACAGCCTGTGGCACACTCAGAAATGAAAATCAAAGTTTCAACTGCAATTTATAGTACCCTCCTCCACCAAGGAGCCACCTTCAAATGAACAGGGAGGCCTGAATGCTAACAAGTGCCACCTACCATCAAAAGAGAGGCGGCGTTTCGCCCCCCAGGTACCCACATTTCTCCGCAGGTGCGTTTACAGCTTTCACACGACAGCAGAGCCTTGCACACCACAGGTCTCGCCTACCTCACCGGCACCTTCCCAACCGCTACGCGCAGTGGAAGAGCAACTCTCCCCAGCTCACTGGGTCAAGATTTCCTTTCTTCATACCACTCTGCTACCAGCTCTACACCAGAAGACCGCCCTGCCTAACGCCATGTTGACGGAGCTTCAGAGACATTGCGCGTCCTCATCCCGCAGACCATGAGCAGCAGCAACCTGGAATAACTTTAAGCACTGAGCCCAAGCAATCATATCAGTGAATTTAACAAGACTTGTAATCTCCTTAAAGATATTCACATGCTTACAGGATCTCAGGCTATGGAACCACTAATTTACGAACGAAGTGTATTAAGATCATTCTGGATGAAAAGGAAAAATGTTAGCTATAAAATAACTGCACAATTACCTCTGATATTTTATGTGGAAAACTGACATTTAGTATCTTTAATTATTCACATAACAGCTATTAAAGAGAAAGGTTTTCTTGCTTGAACGGGAAAATAAATACGGACAAATTCCTCTCACCGTCACTCCTACACTCCTTTCCTAAATAAACCCCCTGCGGAAACCAATGGAAGTTTTGCAGGGGACGGGTTTACGGCAAGCAGCCCCCAAAAACCTCAAAAGCATAGAGGGCAACCTTCTTAAATATTTTGAGTTTACCTCAACACAGAAACCAGTTACATCTCTGCTAAATTACATGTCTGCTTGAAATGGTTTATCAGCTTGCTGTGCTAAGAGGGACAGTAGTATCCAACAAACTTTTCAGACCATGGGCCAATTTTCGAAGCATTCACAAGGCTGCTCGCTAAGCGGCTCACCCTCTTTTAGCTTCTGACACACCAGCACTGCACCCGGCACTTGTTAACCAAGAACCCAGGTATCTCTCCCGTACACCAAGACTGAATTACTAAACTCCATTCATGAACAGTTACTTTACTGAGAACTGTATAATAAAAGAAATCTTCCCTTTTACCAAAATAAAAGCTCCCTGAAGTAAATGGAAGTTTCTAGTCATGGACAAATCTAATGAAATCTCTATTCTCCCCTTAACTGGACACATTATTTTTATTACCTTTTTTAAGCTATGAGGAAATGTATTTCTCTGCTTCCTCTAAGGCTTTTATTATGCCTTTTTTGTCAAAGATACCCTATCCTTCTTTTCTTTGTCATTTGTTAGCACCAGTTCAACATCAGGCAAGACCTACATTTAGCACTATGCACAAAACCCAAGGTCCACTCCTCTTAAAAGCTGTGGGCAGATGATGATCACCGCTTCCTTTCTAGGATCAAAATTCCATACATCCAAAAGACTTTAACACATAAAACTAAAAGCAGATAATGACTGAAGATACTACCTGAAGCAAGGCCCCTGAGCTATTCTTGTTCAGCACCCTTTACTATTACTCCAAATAAAGATAAAATCCTTGGCACTTAGAGCACTCTAATCTGATCCTTACCTGAAAAGACAAAAAAATTAAGTTCAGAAATCAGTGCATTTGTATTCAGCTCTGAACAACAGCTTGAAGCCTACCTGCCAGTTTTTGAATTTCCCAACACATTTTTACTCTGTAAAAATGGTTGCAACAATTACTCTACACAGAATACGATCCTTGTCAGTAATGCTATAAAACTGAAAGCAACATTCTCCTGGGCAACTAGTCTGTCATAAAGAACTTCAGTAACTTAATTTGGTGTTTATACTCTGAGACCTACACATACCAACTTCACTGCCCACAAAATCCGAAAAACTGAAATTTGGGTGGAATTCTACAGGAACTGGAGAACCGGGAGAATCTTCTCTTTGAACCATCTCCCCACATCGCTTATCCCAGCCTTAAGACTAGTTTTGTGGTCATAATATCACACCAGAACAGCTGCTCCCAACAGCCACCTTCGAGCCAGCGTGTTTGGGACCATCACTTATCCTATGTCTGCTATACGCTGCCTGGAAAAGGTCAGGAGTATGTTATTAATCATTCACATTTATGAGTACTAAGCTTACTCCAAATACATGTCTTGTCTTGTTTTTAATTATGCACACAATAGTACCATAGAAAAATATTACCTCTCACTTCCCCATTTCGGGCCAAATGCAGTTCAGTGCCACCATGGGCGATTGTATGAGAAGCACTCTGAGTGCCACTCATTTTACGTCATCTATGAATGTGACTCCACAAATTCAGAACCTCTTCTTTGAACTACCACTTCTACTTCAGCTTAAAAGATGTCAAACCCTGCAGAAGGTGTCAAAACTTTGCCAAGTATACAGATAAAAAAAACCCAAAACATTGTATACCTAAAAGCTTAGGAATACTAGTAAATTAGTCACTAAGATTCATCTTTCAAATTGATCGGTACCTGCATTAATCAATGCCAAAAGAAAAAAAACACAGTAACGCAGAAAGAGCATGGATGGAATTCTAATTAGCTCTCAGTTTACGTGTTAAAACTGAACCAACTCCTGTTGCAGTGGTATTACAGTTCTGCTAAACTTCTCACTGATTCTTGACCTCCAGAGATTTCTAATTACCTATCCTGTTTGTATTTTCATATTTTTCCTACCACTGAATTTTAAAAGGACTTTACGTTTTCATTAAGTTTTTGACCCATGTGTTGCACTTTGCGTATTCTAACGTTACTTTGGTTTAAAACTTTTGCGCTAAGTCAATCAGCTGCTTACCTTTGCAAAACGAGGTTTAAGAAAAAACAGGAGAAAAAGAAAAGAAGTGAAGAAAGATCTGAATACGCACAGCCTTTTCATTCTCAGGTTATTCAGACCCACCCCTACATACAAACTTTGTAATCTAGCAGTTGCTATGAGCACCCGGAGAAGACATGTTTTCTAAGGCGCTAAAACCTGAACAAGCATCTTCCACGTAAAAAGTGGCAGCACGAGGACCCCTATCTTATCAACAACAACCGAGTTCTTTTTCCGTGTGTACAGTTTACATACTTACCCAGGAAAGCAAATGGAAATTACAGACAGACGACGATGAAGCTGTCTCAAAGCCTTTGTCATGTGATAGTGACCTATAAAGTATCAAATAAAGGCACATCATCAGCACACCATGATTTTACAATATTGCAACTCACCACAATGCCAACAAGAGGAGAGATCCCAAAACTTGCAACTTGCTTCCTCCTCACCCCCGCCCCAGATAAGTTGTCATTAAAACGAGATGACAGTCGCAGGAAACCGTAAGGAGCAAACAAAAGATGCACCGTGTCTTTAAAGGGCATTAGGACTGGGCAAACGGAGCAAATCATCTGAGTGTGCATCAGCTAGGGTGGGTTATTTTTCCTCTCCGTGTCTTGCACACACGGATGCACGTTTATGCGCGCACACAGGCATACCTACGTACACACAGGGAAGCATCACGTAATTATTTACATGCACACACAGAGAAACACGAACGCATTACCAAAATAAAAGGCAGAAAGTTGACCACCATCTGCAAGGAGGCATACATAACAATAACCCCCGGGAACTTACACAAGTGAAGCGATCAATCCCCGCGCGTGGAGAAGCCAAACAACGCAAAATTAACAACACCAAGCAGCCGCCAGACTGCAGGTACGAGATCCACCCGGGGAGACAGACAGACAGACAGACAGACAGACAAGGCAGGCAGGCAGGCAGGCAGGCGGAGGGACGGAGGGAGGGCTGCAACGCCGTAACACAGTTTCAGGTAATGCCCGTTCCCCCCCCGGCAGAGCCCAGCCGA